CCCGGGGGAAGTCAGTATATAACTTGTTTGCCGTACCTACTCGAGCAGCCACTCGGGACTCTCTGAAGCCGCATTTTTAACACATACGTACACCAGATTAAAATATAAAACTTTAAATAAAAGTGATGGGAACAAAACCTTTTAAAACATTATACATTCAGGCATGCATAAAGAAAGTGTGGTGTAAATCGTAGCGCGCCGCTAAAATGGCGCTCGCAGGCGCCGGCAGCCAGGCTTCATCGCGGTCGCAAATTATTATGCAAGAACCACTAACACCAAACTTAATTCCTTACATTTATTCACCACAATGTACTGGAGCACTTCGCGAAATAATACCAGAAATTCTCCCAGCTAAGATATTACAATAATTTATTGTTCTACGAAGGCCGAACGGCCGTAAATTTTAATAATTTTGACAAATTAAAAATGGAAATTAAACCTTGTTTTTAATTGGTAAATGAATTAAAACTTGGCCGTAATTCATTTTTATTAGCAATATCAATGTTATACGTATTTTAATTACATTACGAGCTTTAAATATACACAGTTCTCCGAATTGGAATGAAGATAATAGTACCGAATTAAATTACTGAAATTAAAATATATAAACAAATTACTATTTGAATATTGTCCAATATTTTCATGCTTATTTTATTAAAACTTATAGAAAGCTAGCTAGCTAGCTCTTATAGAAACAATATTTTTTAAGACTCTGTATTCGTTCAGAAGATACAATGCTAGATTTTTGTATAGTTGAAGAGTGAGAGAGCTATGCTCCGGCACGGTACCACGACCTCACAGAAAACCGACGTGAAGCAACGCTTGAGTTTGGTTTCGTCGTGTGAGTGAGGTTACCGGAGGTACAAATACCCCCTACCCAATCTCCTCAGTCGCGGAGAACCTAACAGGTAACCGGGGCTCCAGCTCGACGTGCAGGAGAAGGAACGGGGTGGTTTTTAGTCAGTAAGAGTCTGACACTCCCTCCCACCTCACCCAGGCGGGAGCAGTCATTCGATGATTGTCCCCCCTTAAAAAAAACAATCTCCCCAATCTCAACATCAATCCTCAAATTTCTTATCTCCAAAAGGCTAGTGACGCACTCGTAACGCTTCTGGTGATGCAAGTGTCCTTGGGTAGCGCCGATTGGTTACCATCAGGTGATCTGTCATCTGATTATTTCAGGTTAACCTATCAACCCAAAAACTTAAATATTTTGTCATTTTGTATACCTATGTTCGTTTATTTCACTATCTAATCACTCCATTGAATACCGAATACAATATGTCACAATAAAGACCTTTTGAACTTTTTTGAAAATGAATAGAAATCTTGAAAATATATCCTCAGCTCTTTGCAGCAGCAACACATCCTTTCTTTCCTGCATACCCGTTGGGAGCGGATGCAAGGGGAGGCACGCGCCGAGCGTCCGGAAGGCGGCGGTCTCGCAATTATCGCGAGCAATTAGTCGCAGTCGCGAGTCGAGCGTACCGCGTTTGTCACACCACCTCACACTTCAATGTGATAGATACTGTGAAGACGGTTTGACATAGGGAATGGTAGGTATTATTGGTAGTTCAAAGTGAAAGATTCAGGACTTGACAGTGTCTTTTAAGACTTTGAATGCCAATAAAAAACTGTTGAAGGTAAATCCTCCGCTAACGCAGGTCACCGGTGCCCCCATGGCGTTTAACGTCTTAAAGTCCAAACAAAGAAAAATACAATAAAGCAAAATCATTTTTTAAAGAAAGAACCACACAAGTTTGCGTGTGTCTATTCAGCTTGCGTGAAATTACAGGAGGAGTTTAAAACTTATAACGGAATTGGAACTATAATGCAGTTACAAATGATGGCAATAATAATCCAATATTGAATATAAGACTGCCTCATTGGCTGAGTGGTCGCAAGTGCGACTGCCGGGCAAAGTGTCTCGGGTTCGATTCTCTGGTCGGACAAAGTACTACTGGGTTTTTTTAAAATCTTAGTAGTAGCACGGAGTCCGGAATTGTGCGCGGTTTATGGCAATAGGCTCATCCCCTATTACATGGGACTCATAACATTAATAGTGAAAAGTGGGTGTGTTACATTGTACAGTGGCATTAAGTGCCGTAATGTTATATTATGTAATTCAGTTAACCTGCAACCCCGTGAAGGTCTGTATAAAACTTTTAAATAAAACAACATCTCCCATTTAAACAAATAAACTAAAATAAAATATAAAGCTTCGTAAGCGTATAATAACACAAAGAGATTCCCGGAAAAATCTGATAGTTGCTTCTATTTTTTGCAAATATTATGCTTTGTCATATTAGTCTACTAATAAAGATACTGTTCTCGAATAAATAAATGTAGATATGAACAACACAAAAATTGTTTTCATAACATCACGCACTTATCTCCGAAGGGGTAGGCAGTGGTGCACATTACGGCAATGCCACTGTACGATGTAATAACCACGTTTTACTATTATTTATGTTATGAGTCCCATGTAATAGGGGGTGAGCCTATTGCCATATACCGGGCACATTTCCAGACTCCGTGCTACTACTGAGATTAAAAAAAAATCAATAATACTTTGCATGACTCAGGAATTGAACTCGAGATCCCTTGCCCGGCAGTCGCACTAGCGACCACTCGGCCAATAAGGCAGTAACAAAAATTAACTTTTCATTGTCATTTTATTCAACAAAATATTAAAATTCCTTAGCCATAACATTGTAAGTATCGTTACTTAAAGCTGCAATTCAATAGCAGAATACAACATTCTGTTGAAGGCAATAAATAAGCTATTTGTATCTATTGAAATGGCTGCACAGATCCTTTGACCAAGTGGCCGAGTAACTGGCGATGCGATCTTAGGATATTGACTCGCAATATTGGGTACAAACTACGAAGCACTGACTTTGCCAATATTAAAGGGCGGAAGGGCAAAGGGTTGAAACTGTACCAACTGTACGATGGTCTCAGTCCAGTTATTTACATATTTGATCGTTTCTGTTTTAGTAACTGCTTTTGAAATATCTCGGTCATTCTCGGTACGGCATTCGATGTCTAGAATGTAATAACTTAATTAGAAAGGGAAGAAGTCACAGAGAGACTCTTCCTCATGAGCAGCGTGCGCGGTCGGAGGGAGATCGCGCAGTCTACCGATCTACAAAGACTACCTTTAAGACTCGAAGCTTTTCTCGGTATAGTTACGTGGGACACTCGTAATTTTGTAGTTAATTCAGTTTATCTCACGATAGTTATTACAATACATGTAATAATTTATACAGCATGGTTGTGTAGTTTGGTCATCAGTTATGGTGCTGCCAGTGTTTTTTGAGTCCGATTTCCACTTGGAATGGATACTAGGTAGCGTTTTTGGACTAAATGGTCATGTAGGTACAAAATAAATAAAACTAGTATTGTTTTTATAATAACTATCATGAGACATGGTAAATTAACTAAAAATCGCGGATTACTCACGAGAATATACTGAGAAAAGTTCTTCTAGATTTGAACCACAGAGAGGTTCTTCCGCGACCGTGCACGCTGGTTCGAAACTAGTAGAGCTTTTCTCGGTATATTCACGTGAGTAAAACGCGATTTTAGTTAATTTAGTTAGTTAAAAGTAATATTAGAAGAAAAATGAACTCTGTTGCATACGGAGTAAGCATTATAATCCTTCAACTGTCGTGTAAGTAACGAATGATCTGTAATGTTTTTGTACATTTATATCTATGTCTACGTCGCTCGAATAAGGACATTGAGTACACATTGTTATAAGGTGAACAGACAGTGGAAAAGTCTCGATATATAAGGTATTTGTTACATTCCATTAAATAAATACCGACTAAGGCCCGATTGTTTGTTTAATATTTATTTGTTTTGGAACAATAAAAGGAAGGCTTATACAATAACGTATCTATCTCTTGAAAATCTGTTCAAAAATGTTGTCATTCTTGTACCGACCGAATAGGCATGATGATGTGGTATTGGTAATGAAAAAATATTAGACACGTATTTATTTATTTTGCCGTATCTGAAAACATTACTTTTTTATGGCATTAGCCGGTGAACGAGCTGACGGATCACCTGATGGTAAGCAATCAGCGTCGCCCATGGACACCTGGAACACCAGAGGCGTTACAAGTGCGTTACCGGCCTTTTGGGGATTAGGAGTTTGAGGATGGTTGGGGATTCAGGAATTGAAGAGATTGGAGAAGTGGAGGGTAATTGGACCTCCGGTAACCTCACTCACACGACGAAACTCAACGCAACTTCGCGATATTTCAAATCAATATATCTTCGAAACTATTCGTTTCCGTAAGAAAATAAAAAATACATGTCTAATGTCTTTAAATAATCTACCAGACGGACATTCAAATAAAAATTAGACATCTACCCCATTTGTGACGGAAGAATATTACAATTTTGTGTTATTGACTTATAATAATCAAAATTTATATTGCAATACGGATGAATTACGATAAAGGACGATCAAATTTCGACTGACATGTCAAACTCCTACGTATTTCTGAGAAAGTTCAATAAAGAAATAAGAAATATTCACTTATGTGGCCAGTGATGTAGGATACAAGTGTCTATGTGAATAGCCTATCATGTTCTATAGTACCATTTTATTTGAAGGAATTGAGTTCCACACATTTATCTAGTCTTTTATATAAATTCGTAGGTCACCAAAGGCCAGTCTTAATAAATCTAAATTTCGGTATAGTAGAGATAGAATTTAGATATGAGTAACAACAGAATGTGTCAATATTCTGTTTCATCCAATCGACCGGCAGGTACTTCATTGAGCTTCAATTGAGACTGGCTGTAAAGGAACGATAGAAATCCAATTCTAATATTTTAATCAAAAAGTAGAAAAATGTTTGTGTGGGATACGAAACTTATTCTTTTTCGTAATACCAATATGTAAAAGAGTCATTTGCGGCTTTTCACAGGGTCATTTATCATTTAATTAATGTCAGATATTATCTTAATTGATATGTACTTACCGTTCTGTTGCCCAGGTTTCGAACCCGGCAGCTGAGGTAGGCGGATTTTCCGACGAGAGCGGTAACGTTGCGTGGTGTAGCTGCGTCGAAAGACGGCGCCAAACGTGCGCCAGCGCTGCCCGCCGGCAGAGCGTTCACTGACCCCGCCCCACCCGCGACGTCGCATGCACCTGGGAAAAAGGAAAATTGTGATTATTATAGTTATTATCACCAGCCTATAACAGTCCAGTTCTGGACCATGGACATGGTTTGTCACAACCTATACGCTGGGCAAATGCCCAATTAAGGGATTCAGGTCTTTACAAGAACCCTGTTGTCTGCTCTCTGTTAAATGTGTAGTCCCTAGTAGACCCTTGCGGCAAAACTTACTCGAGAAGACCAGGACAAATATGTATTCTATTCTGCCATATCGCCACATGGCAGAAAGATATATTACTGGTTATAGGCAAATCTGTACTTAATCGGTCATAACACACAAACATAATTATCATAAAAAATTTTATAGGCATTGATTTATAAAGAAGCAACATAAACAACCCCGCATTGTTTTACGCGTACTCATCAAATATTTCCCGAAATCGTTCCATAAAATATATCTATTCGAAATCTATAGAGTTTCGGATAAATCGTATAGCTTACAATCTCAATGAACGTGTTATTCACCCGCCATCACCATAGCAACACGTGTAACATCATCATAAATCCATCCAGCATCCGTAAAGTTTACGGCCAAATAAAATCTGTGTTCATTGTCGAGCTAAGATTATTTGTGCGGAGACAAAGACGGTGGTCCCATTGTCCTCGGCATTAATTAAACTATGCTCGGAAGATATGCCTTCGTTAAACCTCGTTTTTATTTCTGGAGTCTCAACAACAATAAATTCGTATGAAAACATGATCTCTCGCTTGCTCGCATTGCGCGAGCCTACACTTGCTCGCATTGCGCGAGCCTACAACAAAGACTTCTCTCAGGTTGATGTGTTTAACTGCACAAAACCTAGCTTTAAAGCCCAAGTTAAAAATATTATAATTGATAAAGGCAATTAGCGGGCAACTTTGTTCCATTCACCATAAAGCATTTACCATGGAGCATTTACTATGTTAATTCATATTTTAATTAGGTTAATATTATTATCTCCCTTTCATAACAAGTAGTATATTTAACTTTCAATTCTATATTAAAACTTTATTTTTAAATCTTGTTTAAAGTCCGTTCGCATGGTAAATACAAATTAAGTTAAGCAGGGAAACCTATTATTAGCCTTACTAAACTGTAATATCTTTATTTTGTATTATATCATATGTATCGCTGTTGGTTTTCTAAATAAATAAAATAAAATAAAAAAAAAAATCTCTCCCATTGTAAGGCGAGTAAACTTAGTATCAGAGTTTGTTAGTGTCTTCAATGCCTAGTGTTTTCGAGGGTTAGTCCACTGTCAATTGTCAAAGTTTAACTTATGAATTTGTCTCAGCTCTGTAGATACTGTGGCGGTTCGGAAGATTTTAACATAATTTAAGACATAATTATTCTCACTTTAAAGTTCAAACGACATCTAAAGTTTGCCCGAAACTTGGAGATCATTGCTATTTAAGAATTCAAGAAAAATAATAAGTTAAAATTAAATATAGACATTCTCATTATAACATTACGAGAATAGAGCCAAGATGCATATGCGTATATCACACCATTTTATAAAAAATCACTCATACGGATAATACATAAGCTTTTATAGTGTTATACAATGTAAATAAATTATATTATATTCTTCAATCCATTATGATGATGTCCTAATCCAAGCCACTGATGACCAAATGACCCGCGTGGTATTCAAACTCACTGAACTATGAACATAGTAAACTAGTCGTAGACTAAGCAGAAGCATCGTTATGCATTGGAAGCGCCGAGGCTGGCGCGGATGTCAACGAGGAAATCATTCCGCTTAGCTCTACACCGCCTAAATACTTGATTGATGTTGCACACTAACCTCACAGTTATAGCACAGACGGAAGATACAGAAGGTCCATTCAGAATGGAGTTTTAGTAGCATTTTTAAGATACACACGTAAGCCATATTACGCCGAAGTGATATCACGCCAGTGTGAGACTATGGCTATATATTGCGATCCGAGCATAGAACACGAATTGAAACGGGTTTTAGTAAGTGTCTGACACTAAGCCGACACTAAGTCGGGGTGACAAATAAAACTAGCAACCAAAGAAAGGCTACATCATCCTTCAACCATTAAATCACCTAATTACAAAAATTTTTAGGCTACGAATCAAAAGTAAGTAAGAATTAAGAAAGGCGAGGCAAGATGATTTTTAACATCAGTGGACATGTTCTAACTGACATGACTCATGTACCCAAGTGTATATAATACGAGAATTAAGCCTGTATTTGGAAATTTTGTAATGGACGTTTGAGTATACCAGTCAAATGAAACTCATTACTAGAGTACTGGTTCATACCGATATCACACGAGTACGTACAAATTGTAAGAGCTCGAGACGAGACGTGGCCAATATTCCAGAATAGTCATTTCTCAATTTCAGACTCTCATATAATACTGGTCATCCTTTTCTGGATCGACCTTTTACATGTAAAATAACGTCGGCTGCTATTCGTCGCAAATAAATGTATTGAGTTGAATATGAGGTTCTATTTGCAAAATGGAAAAATAAATAGTACTTCGATTACGTTTCTTTTTTATTAAAATTACACTCGCAGTAGAATTTTCGCCAGTGTCGTGTGTGTTTGACAAACACACAAGTTCACCGATAATTTTCAACATTTATGATGGATTTAAAAAAATATTAATCATGTCTGAAGTACGTACTGAATCAAAGATCTGGTATTTTGTATTCTACCTACGGACCTTTCGGTGAAATAAAAAATCCCAAACTTTCATAAATAAAGAAAATCCTTTATATTTCTGTTAGCCTTCTGTGTTTGTCTGAGTGATGACCCATTTATGGAACTGCGCATCCGGGCCAATTCCGGGTTTACCCCGGAACTGCGCTGCGCAGTGATTTTCATGATTGATATGCGTTTTAATTATATTAAGGAGCTCCTATTAATGGAGGTCTCTAATTATTTAGATCTCATATCGCAATTCTACACTCGATATGAGCTTAACCCCTAATGAAATTAGCGCAAATTATAATTGCTCTAGGATAATTAATTGATTAAATAGGTATTTTGAAACCACAGAACAAAGTATGTTTTAGATATGTAGCAGAAGACGAAAAAAGATTATCTGGGACCTGAAAAGGATAAGTGTCTATATAATAAAGAAAAGGCTTTTTGTGTGGCGTTACTATGACAACTTTCCTGGTAGCTGACACGATTGTGGCTTATACAATAGTAGGATAGCAGAGGTATACATACAGGTCATCAATTGTTAGTCAGCTACTTGTATGTGTATTAAATAACAATATAATAGAATACATGCCTATTATATAATCCTACTCGTCCCAGTTGTATCAATAAACCATAATAAAGGCTACAACGTTTACACTCAATACATAGCATTAATGAAAAGCGTGGTTTCAGCGATAATACATAAATATGTATGCATGCGATACGCGGTGGTAGTTCCTGATAAATAAACATTAATTAATGACGTTTTTTCAATGGTCACTAACAAAACCAATCAATCTCAGGACTCCACCAAAAAATGGAACACAAACTTAATCAATGAGCCATCAATGGCTGCCCGTGATGGATGTACCCTTAATTAAGCAACAGAATAGATAACAATACACACGAACACAACAAGCAAAAACATACCTTATTACTCCATATTAAAGCGCACAACACTCGCAAAGCAAACTTTGTTTCGACAACAAGCAAGTGGAAACAGTATGCAATGTTGGTGTACGAAATTCGGCCCTATTGTTTGAGTTATAAGAGCTTTTGTCCGTGTGAAATTATTCCGTAAATTCAGGAACAGATTGTGGGTGCAGACGAGCCAATGAGAATGATAAAGTGACCAGTAAACCAGCCGCCGTCACTGTCAATATTTGCCTAAACAATAGAAACTAATTTGCACCTGTTACTTGCTGTTATGGTCAGCCGGTTCTAACCGGTACTAACCGGTACTCCATACGTACACTACGTATTTGAGCTCTACACCGGCTTAAAGTATAGTCCAGAACTTCCTCTTCCTAAGAGTATAGAATTTGATTCCCCAGTAAATACTTCTTTCCAATAAACAAAACGAAAAGGTCAACCTAATACCTTAGCAAAAAGATTTACTTTTTGTAGGAAATTTATAAAAGTGCTCCTTGTTTGTAGCACAACCTTAGAAAGGGTAAAACAATATTTTGATGTAAGTATTAATTAATATTATTCGAAAGAGGAAGTCGATGAGAGGTTTATAAAAGCCTCTGACACCGAAACATCCGTCGGCTACATTATCAGGCCTCCCTGCACAGAATAATTCGATATTTTTTCAACATTTTCGTGAACAACAGATGAACTCTTCCATTGTGTAACTTCCGCACAAAGTAAATGTTATTAGTATATAAGTAGTCAGTTTGTTTGTTTAGCAGTATGAGTATCGGTGGACTTATTTATTGGACCGATGTCTAAGTCTTCTTTTAAAGGAAACTTCAATTAGTTGGTTGTTGAATGAAAAGACAAAGAGCACCATTACTGGGGGTTCGTTCTATTTTTGATTCAATGACTGAATGAATCCGGCCGCGTGTAGTGTGTAGTGAGTGCGCACAAACACATGTGTGTTATATAGTGTACCTATATAAACCCGTCAATACTTGTCAGTGAGAGTGGGCGCACACTACACGACTTTACTTATAAAAACAGCCTCCAGTATTTATCTATTACTTCTTCTATTATAAATAAATTACTTTCATTTTAGTTTTCTTTCGACATAGTTTTTCGCTATAGCGTACTATGCCATAATGTCATGTGGGTTCATTCCCTAGGTCTGACGACCTTTCTTATTATGGTTCCTATAAAAGTCAGAGCAGGTCGTGGAAACCGTCTCAAGGTCTACCAACACCCTTTAGGTAACCTTTACTGAGCACTAAACTTCAACCACTATTAACTATAAACTCTTTATTATGCCTACTAAAGTTTATGACTTTATAAAGACTGATATACTACATTTTGTTATAAAAAAGAGAATGTAATTTCTACCTTCTGGT